CTCATCGTCTACCTTTCCAAGCTCTCTTTGCAAGTGGTGGTCAGACCATGACATGGCGTAGAGGTGTGAAGACACTAATTTCAGCTTTGGCTTCGGTTGGTGTAGCCCGCATTCCAGGCTGGAACCCAAGAGATGAGGAGTGTTTCTGGTTACAAACGAGTGAGAGATATGACCAAGGATAGAAGTCAGTGAAGCGAATGCTATTGAAATCGTATGACCCATAAAGACATGCAAAATACTAACACAAAAAGCATCAAAAGGTGTACAGTGAAACAAAAAAAGAATTGTTTTCCTTGTTAACCACGACAACTGTTCGACCCCTGTCGCACTGTTTTGTATCCCAAACACTTCATTCTGTGTTATTCTTGTTATATATATATATATATATATATATATATATATATATATCAGAATAAGTAGTATATCATTGACTAGACAAAAATCTCCCTGGAAGCACACCACCAGTTTGTTGGTTCTTACTGCTCGTCAGGGATGCGTAGCCGGTAGTCTTTTGTCAGTACATTCATATACTTGTACCCAGAAAGTGTATTTCCGTCACAATAATAGTTGCCACATCGGTAATTTTTGTCTAGACAACCCTTTTCCGATCCAATCCATTGAAGAATTAATACTATGATACGATATATATATATATATATACTTCCTTTACTGGGCAGCCACAATTACCCAAAACCCTGTGAGGCACATCGGCAATACAGCGTAGCGAACAGTGTTCAAACATCGATACTCCATGCATATCCCGTCCCCGTAACGGCCAAGTCTTTGCACCAGTCGAACTGCTACCGTATACACTCATGGCACATTCCAGTTTATTCACATGAAACTGTGTATGTGCACAAATCATAAATAAGAGGAAAAAAAGAAAACGTGATCGACAGATGTTTCTGTTCAACGTACATGCATCGCGGCTTGACGAACCAGTTCTATCTCGAGTAGTGCCTCGTCTGTTGTCTGGACACAGCCGGAATCCGACTGGGTGGAACACGCCACACTTAACTGATCGGTCACGGCATCATTCGGGAGCCGAACTGTCGGACCGCGTGATTCGATCACGGGTTGCAGTTGCGGGGATGTGCTAGGACCGGGGTGATTCAATGCGTAGTTTGGTTCGTCAGTTTCGTCTTCGTCGGATGCGTAGACTTTGACAATCTCGTTCTGCGGTCCCGTGGACTGGGAGCATAAAGTGCCCGGTTCGATACGGGCGAAAAGTTGTCTGGTGAAATCAACACAAGAAGGGCACAGGATGAGGGTGAAAAGAGATAAATTAGCGAGATATGTAAACAAAGAGAAAAATAAGCGGAAAAGAGACATTCGACTGATAAGAACAAGAGAAAGCAATTGTACTGAGTCGAATTGTTCTAGTTCAACGACAGATTCGGACACAGTAAATTGTGATTAATGGGGTGAGGTTAAACTGTAATAGCCCTGGCAATCGGCTTGTCGAGAATGAAGAAGAGCCAGGTACTTTGAAGATAGGTTAGTTTTGACCGGTCAGTAAAAAAACATTTGTTCCAAATCATCCTCATTAGTGCTCGAAACTGCACTGGCGTGATCCAGAATAACAGGTGACAGCGAAATGACAAAGTTATTCACGGTACAGTGTCAACGTGTCACATATACCCCTGAATAGACGTTTAATTCACGCTAGAACTTGTCACACGTGAATGAACATCACCGAGCTAGTCACAGATTGGGGCCCGAACGAATAGGATTGAACTCCTATCAGGATACCGGGATTCCACTAGAACACTACACGATCTAACATCATTTAATGTACTGCTACAAGACGAAACTATTGGGAACTGTTTGCAAGGGCATTCACTATTAAATTTCCTACCATCTACATTGACCACCAAACTGTCCATGGATGAGGAAATGCACATAGACCGATAAGCAGAATAGTACGACCTTGATCGTCTCAGTGCGGTTCGAAAAGCTTGGCAAGAAGAATAGGTTAGATTGCTGGAAGAAGGAATGATATTCGGACCGAGGTGCTATCGTTCCCGCTTCCGAGAGGATGATGATGATGACGATAATCGAGTTCAGGTTTAGGCAGATGTATCGTTCGATGGAGATATTTCTGGGATTATATACCTGCGGAAAACTAAAAGATCAAACTTTATCGAAAGTTTGAATAAGACAACGGGATAGCTAAATTAAATAAAGGATGGGAGAAATCTGGGCAATTCTACCGTTAATCTCTCCAAATTAATCCGCTATACCCGTATTTGGGAGTTCACAGGCTTGTCCAACAATGATTAAATAAATTCGATCAACAGAACATCTCAGACAGTGTGCACCGTGAAGGAACGGATTCATTCAGTGATCATTGCTTGCTATGCTAAGACGGAGCTACTCACTATTTTGACAGTAGTATGAACATGAAAAGCAATTTTCCTAACACGCAATAAGTGGTGACTCACGTGGTGTTATCAAAGCACACATCTAGGGGTCCGCTTGCCATTCGATTATCATCCAACGATTTACCGGTTGACGAAATGCATTTTCTTCCAGCTTGAGATCTGCGCCAAACGGGGCTATCTCCCCGAACTGAAACAGATGTGCGGGGACGTGTGAATTGCGGAAGTGGTGATTCCCGAGGAAGAGGTAACAGTGGTCTAGGGGGAGGTGCATCGTTTGCGATGCGTCCACGAGGGAGCGAGGTGACAGGCAAATGGGCACCTAACCGACTTTCCGGAATGTTTGTGGGACATGGTGCTAGGGACGGATGACGAGATATCATCTCTTTCCAGGCTTTGAGCTCTTGAACCTGATTAAAACAAGAATTTCAATACAACGATATGAAATACCATCGGAATTTCTTCACACATGTGTATCTAACACGCAGTAGAATACCAATCAATATCAATCACATGGGGTTTACAGTAGCTGATTTATTTAGACAGACAAGCGTAATAAGGATCCAATAAAATGCAGACTGAGAATGAAAGAAGAAACAGGAAGGTGCGAAATGCTGGAGAATATGGAAAAAATATCAGTAACTTAGCCAAGGAGATACACCGATAAGAACATCGTCACTAGGCCCATTGATTGAAGGAACTTTTCTCGCTTAACGCCTGATATATGCATAAACATCGATCAGATTTCAAACGATAATTCGAACGACGTTGTTACTTGGTCCTTGTCCCGTTCCCTGTAATTGAATGCCTCTAAATATC